CCCGATCTACTTTTGCAACAACCATATTAAATGCTTGCAACGTACCTCTAAATATCTAAAACAACGATCACCAGGTCATGGGTTCGATGCAGCCTCTCTACAGATTTGCAAAGGGAAGGCTTGCCTCGGTTTTTTCCATTCCCCAGACCCACTCATGTGGGAGTCTCCGACACTGGGTCTACCTTTTTTTTCTTTTATATCTAAAATAATAATTTACTTGGTTATTACCAACGCTATCGTTGTGTATATATTTTCATCCAACATCTTCCCATGCCATCTAATCCATCTTCACAACTCAATCCCTTTTCAGGTAGCCATCCAAACGCTACCTAAGGTCTAATAAAAATGGCTCGCCGTCATCTTTATTTTTATTTAATTTTCTATTTTTCGCACAATGAAAACTATGTCTTTGAGTTTTGATTGACGCATGCCGTCTCCATTGCATTGCATGAGGAGATTCTTGGATGATAAAATATAGACTAGACTAGACGATACTAAGAGCTTGTTTGGTACCACTTAAAATCAGATCTGTTGTATTACTCCTTTTGCGGTAAAGATAGCAACACACTAGCAAAACCGTAGTTGCACATTTAGATAGTTTATCTTTTGCATAGGTTTTGTTAAGGTTAGAAAAAGAGGCAATAGTTTAGAGTTAGAATCTTAAGTTGCCTAATTCACCCCCCCCCCTCTTAGGCATCACGGTCCCCTTCAATTGGTATCAGAGCCGGTTGGCTCAATTTGGACCTTTGGCTTAACCGCCGTTGAGCCGACGCATTTTAGAGTGGTTGGGATGGATATCTCTAGGCCTCCACACTTTGACGGCACAAACTTCCCCTATTATAAAGCTAGAATGGTTTGCTATCTTGAGGCGGTTGATTTGGGTGTTTGGAGAGTCACTCGTGACGGGATGAAACCCATTAAGAATCCCAAAAAACCCACAAAGAGTGATGAAAAAGAAATGCATTTCAATGCTAGAGCTAAAAATTGCTTGTTTTAATCTTTTAGCATGGATGTGTTTAACCAAGTGTTCACTTTAAATATGGCACATAAAATTTGGTTAAAACTCCAAGAGCTCCATGACGGCACAAGTAATGTCCATGAGCAAAAACATTGTCTAGCTAAGCAAAATTATGATTTCTTTACAATGAATGATGATGAGCTTGTTTGTGATATGTATTCTCGTTTGAATCTAATTATCAATGAGCTCCATTCAATAGGATTAACCAAGCTAGATGATGCGGACATCGTGAGGACTGAGGAAGATCATCTTCGTGCTACCACAAAAGAAATATACAAGCATCATCACCATCCTTCACAACATGGAGAACTTGAACACCATGATCCTGGGCATAGTCATTGGCAAGTTAGTGGCATTTGAAATGTCACGTAAGATGGGTCAAGACGAAGCCTCTTCATCAAGCAAAGGCAAAGCTCTCGCATGTAGCGAGAAAAAGAAGATGAAGGGCAAGCAAGTTGAGACAAGCTCAAGCTCAAGCTCCTCAAGTGAAGATGAAGAAGAAGATGATGATGAAGAAGAAGAAGAAGAATCAAGTGATGATGATCAATCTTCCTCCTCCACCTCCGACCTTAATGAAGAATCAATCAAACTAATCAACAATGTGGAAAAGATGATCCAAAGGCTCAATGTCAAGGGTGTGCCCATCCAAATCCAAGATTTTATTTTCACCAATCAAAGAAATGAGCAAATAAAGAGAGGATGCTATGGATACGGTGAGTTGGGACACTTTGTGGAAGTTTGTCCAAACAAACCCACACCCAAGATAAAGAAGGCATGCAAGAACCAATCCCTCACATCAATAAGGTCATGGGATGACTCTTCAAGTGAAGAAGATCACCATCACAAGAGGCGAGGACACAAGCACTCATCATCAAGCTCCGCTCATGTGTGCCTTATGGCACGAGGTAATGAAAGCTCATCCTTTAGTGAGAGTGATAGTGATGATGAAATGTCTTCTTATGAGGAAATTATGCAACAAAATCTTAATTATGCTAAAGTTTGCACTAGTCAACAAAAGAAGCTTGAAAAATTAAAAGAAAAGCTAGTTAGTTCACAAGAAGCATACAAAACTTTACTTGAACAATATGAGAACTTTGCTAATCTCAATGTTGAACTATCTACTAAAATTAAGCAACTTAATGCTAGTGCAACAACAAATGCTTGCACAATCAATGATGAGCAACTTGTAAAGAAAAATGAAAAATTAAAAGAAAAGTTAGCTAGCTCTCAAGATGCTTATAAAAGTTTGCTTGCTAAAATGGAAACCATATGCAAACATTGTGATGAGCTAACTAATAAAGTTGCTAATCTTGAAGCCGTTAGCTCAACCCCCACCAAGGCATCTAAAAAGAAAAGTTCTATCTTTAACATGCCTAAAAAAGGTATTGATACACCATTTTAGTGATCTCCACTTGCACAGTGCTTAGTGTTTCATTAGGTGATTAGCGTAGGTGGTTTGCGAAGTGCTTATAGGTTTAGGCCTAGTGTTTAGTGATGTTTGCATACCTCTTACCACTCGGTGCTTGTGCACACCATTGTTGTACAACGGAGGGGTTTATAGTCTTACGAGATCACACCAACCGCGTTTATGGTGTGGCCGCCACTGTGTACCGGAGGGAACAAGGCACGCGGCGTTTCGGCCGGAATCTTGATAGTGAAGATGGCGGGCAGCATTCGGGAGAGGCTTGCCGGAAGGCACGTCGGAGACCCACTTGCGCGTGGGGAAGGCCCAAGGCTATCCACGAAGTTACCCAACCGGGAGCTTGGCCCTTGCGAGGGGCTCCAACGAGGACTAGGGAGAAGCTTGCGCGCTTCTCGATACCTCGGTAAAAATACCGGAGTCGTCGACGGGAGTTTGCATATCTCTACCTTGCTCTTTAGCTTCCGTATTTACATTAATTGCATTACTCCTTTTACAGTAGATATAGCAACACACTAGCAAAACCGTAGTTGCATATTTAGATAGTTTATTTTTTGCATAGATTTTGCTAAGGTTAGAAAAAGAGGTCATAGTTTAGAGTTAGAATTTTAAGTTGCCTAATTCACCCTTCCCTCTTAGACGTCACGGTCCCTTCACAAATATCCTACCGAAATCGATGATTCTTTCCACCACAAGAGACACAATGACGTGGCATTACACTAGCACTCATATTTTCTGTACCGCTGGGTGGAGGCTGCGATACCGATACCGATACCGCACTACGCGGTGGCCACGCCACGATTCCAAATGCGCCATAAACTAGAATTGATGTTGTACTTCCTCTCATGTGTGGTACCAAAGCCAAACCTCGCCGGTGTCGTTGCCTTCATGACACTCCTAAAATTCACCAATTAAATATACTTATGTAACATATCTATTTTTATATAAATATTGATGCTCTTCTTATAATATATTTAAACATGAGATAATTTAACTTAAAATAAAACTAGAATGACATTGTTGCGGTGAAACAGGAGTGTGTAAAACCCAACGTCTATGGCCTTGTTTGGTAGTGCGGTTAAAAGAATATTTCTCTAAGAACCTGAAACGCAAAAGCGCAGTCAAAATAAATTGGTATCCAATTTATGCGTTTTAGTGTAAATGGTTGCTGTGAGAAGAAGCGTGACCGAAAAAACTATAAAAAGACGTGTCAAATTTTAATCTTAGCTTATATTTTAGTAGTAAATAGTTTATAAGTTGTGTTCGTTTGTTTACATTTTATTGTATATAGTCACTTATATGTTCCACTAAAGACTTCATGTTTTAGTAAAGGTAGAGAATGTGAAAATATTTTATTTTGTGTGTCTACCAACTTATGAAAAACTACATTATTTAATACGAAAAAAGTCCGGCATACTAGCTAATATTGCATTAGTCTGCTTTTAGCCCTGTGCAAGCCTACATAAAAGTCTTTGTATGCAACCAAAATTAGGCAAAATGCACTGTACAAATATAGATACAGACTAATGCAGGCAACCAATGGGAACAATAAAATTCATATTCCCTTTATTTTGCTCTAATTCCAGCCTAGAGGGTTCATTTGGATCCATGAGCTACTTAAGCCAACCTTCTCGGTATGCCATTGTAGGAATCAGAGATGGAGCCCTGACCGGTCAGCTCCCACCCTTAGGGCTTTAACCGCCTGTTCTATGGACAGTTCCTATTCCTCGTGGATATTAGAGGAGATTGAGGGGAAAATTAATTCAATTCATTTTCCTCTCAATCTCATCCAATGGTGTATCAAACTAGCCCTCAGGTTCCGTGGATTTCTTTCTTATAACCGAGCATTATTATAGTTATAGCTAGGGGAATGTACCACAATGACAGACAAAACCAGTTTCACGGCGGCGCTTACGGCCCATTATCTATCAGATACCGGCTGAGCGCCTGAGCAAGTGAGCATGGCAAGTTGGCAACGCAGAATCAACTTGCAGCAGCGAAAGACCAAATTGATGTTGGACTCTTGTTCGAGATCGCAACCAAAACGGGACGCGCCACGGCGCCAGCACGCGGATAGTGCGCGCCCACGGGCCTGTTCGGCAGGACTGAAAAATACTGTTCCGGCTGATTGTTGTGAGAGAAAAATACTGTTCTGGCAGGACATGAACAGTGATTTCGTGAGAGAAAAAACAAGCTAGCCGGCTGGCTTAAAGACAGCCGAACAAGCCCCACAAAACCCCACTTCATCCGGCCCTAGACCCTAACAGTCTGTCTACTGCACAACTATGTGTTTTATGCAATTTCAACATATGAATTATTTTTTACCATAAAATTAAGATCCAACAGCCTCCACCTTTCTTCTACCTTTAGACAATCACAAGATCACAGATCCATAGATCATAGATCACATATAAAAAATAATTTTTTTTATGGAAGGACAAATTACACAGTGGTTGGTTCTATCCCGTTCGTAATGGATCGTCGCGCTGTGGGGCCCCTGGACAGTCCACTTGGTGCTTTGCCAGCTCACACCACCTGCCCACACGACAGGTCGGGCGCGAGATGTCGCTCGGGACACCTGCCCACACGACGACGGTCGGCGCAGAAGCCTTCTTTGGCGCTGGTCTTGCTTGCTGCCGTGTCTTCCGCCGTGTGTTTCTTTGTGTAAAAAATTCATGGGTTTTTTCTTCCTAAAATATATGTGTTGTATAGCATTTCTAAACCCTAATCAAGAATTCTCATCGTCCCTCGTCAACGCCACCCACCCACCCCCATCCCAGCGTCTCACCTCGCGCCATACAATCTGCCGCCGCCGCCGCCGTCGTCCGCCACCTCGCCTATTCCGCCATCCTCGGCCAGCGCCACAAGGGCATGGCCAGCCTTTACTCAAAGACCGTGGCGCATGGCGCTGCTACGAGGACGGGCCCTCGATAGCCATCGTGGGCAGCCGCACGCGCTGTGGGCCAAAGTTTGTAACACCCACAGGTGTTACGAGCTCGTTTAGCACCGCGATTTATGCCTAAGTCAAATTTTCGAAACGAGTTTCCTGGATTTTTTATTTAAAACATACTCGACGTGATGAGTGGATCCAGTGACTCAGTTGTGGGGACTCGAATAAACGCTAGTTAAATTACGCCGTGCGTAGGAATATTTAAGAATGTCGAACGACGATTCTAGCAAATAAATAGCGAACGACATGTTTAATTGATTAAACACGGAAAACAATTTTTATAAATAAAATACGATATGACTGGTATATAGTACTTAAGTAAAATTCATAGTATGATTTTTTGTTGCATTTAAAATAATAACGAAAGTACCGCTGAGTAGCCAATGCCTCCGTTGTCTCGTCGAACTAATGGCTTTGTCGTGATGCCACTGTTTCCCCGTGTTGCTATATATATCTTTATCCTATGAGTCTTACTAGTATGACAGAATCGTGTAGATTGCTATGCTATAGGACTCCGGTAGAAGTCGAGTGATTGCCTGTCACTCGCGAGATGTAGGAAATATATTATTGAACTATTATCACTTAGGAAATAAATAAATGGTGAAAAGAAAAAATGGTGACCGAGTAGGGTTATGGTTTGGGTATTGGTGGGTGTAAGAAGTTGTGTCGCCGTGGACGCGGGTCATAGCTTGGTTACACTGTTTTCCCTGTGTGTGTCAATTAAGGACCGGTCGTTGTATGAGCCTCTAGGCAAGTCACCGACTTATTATCCCGAGCACACACTTGGGTATGGACGCTTGGAAGACTTGCTGCTCTCTTGTCGTGGATCTGGCTCTTTCTGGATCGACTGTCAGGGTTTATTTTTGGTGGAGGAGGTCATTGCACCGCTTTGAGTCTGGGACTCAGGGGCGGGGGCTTGGAGTCCCAGTTTGGATATATATATATATCTTTATCCTATGAGTCTTACTAGTATGATAGGATCGTGTAGATTGATATGCTATAGGACTCCGGTAGAAGTCGAGTGATTACCTGTCACTCGCGAGACGTAGGAAATATATTATTGAACTATTATCATTTGGGAAATAAATAAATGGTGGAAAGGAAAAATGGTGACCGAGTAGGGATATGGTTTGGGTATTGGTGGGTGTAAAAAGTTGTGTCGCCGTGGACGCGGGACATAGCTTGGTTACACTGCTTTCCCTGTCTGTGTCAATTAAGGACCGGTCGTTGTATGAGCCTCTAGGCAAGTCACAGACTTATTATCCCGAACACATACTTGGTATGGGCGCTTGGAAGACTTACTGCTCTCTTGTCGCGGATCCGACTCTTTCCGGATCGACTGTCAGGGTTTATTTTTAGTGGAGGAGGTCCTTGCACCGCTCTGAGTCCGGGACTCAGGGGCGGGAGTTTGGAGTCCCAGTTTGGACGGGACCTGGACACCCAGGACAAAAGAGTGATGGGTTGGTCCTACTTGTGCCTGTGGTACAAGCGGGACGTGTGTTTTCGAGGTACCCAGCTGGGGACATTGATTCGCGAATCGTCGAAAAATTCGGTACGGCTTGTCTATGGTTTAGCATCGTAGTAAGAACTGAAAGATGAAAGATGGAAGAAAAGGAAATCTAATTGCTTACCACCTGCTTGAAAGTAGCACAAGTGCTTATATAAAATGGTTAGTTAATGAATTAATGCGGTTATTAATAAAAAATCGAATATAAGGACACACGCTTAGTAATGCTTTCTGCAAATACAATAAACCCACAAGCCAAATAGCCTTGCATATTCTTGGAGTCTTTTTCTTTACTCCTGTCGGGTAAGTCTTGCTGAGTACAATTGACTACTCAGGGTTTTATTCCCCCTGTTACAGGTGACAGGTGGATGCTAGAGCTAACCCTTTGTGTGGATACCTCCTGGTGGGCTCAGCGAGAATTCCTTTACGCTGCGATCGTAGTTGTTATTTATAACTCTCACCAAATGCTTTTATAAATGAAAGTTTCATAATCTATTGTCGTAATTTATATATCAATACTTAATCATGTCCTAATTATATATTCATTTCCGCTGTAATTCTGATCACATGTTTAGATTCCGCTGTTCAATTAAATTGTTCATAACTCTGATAATATGATTTCATTCCGCTGTTATATTAATAAATATTATACTCTGATGTTGTATTAAAAATGATGTAAGAAATGGTTCAGAATGATGCAAGCTTTATTATCTCATTTATGATTTTGATGGTAAAAATATAGATTTTTGGGCTCTCTTCTGGGATATGCCCGATCAAAGTAATTTAGTGTTCTCGTTTAGGTGGTTAGTATCTGATAGAAAGCAGGCACTCGATTAGGCTGTTCTGCCACAGAGTCCTTCGCGTCATCACGGTCCGGGACTTCCCCTACCGCAGCCTCCGCCTCCACGCCTGCCATCGGTCCGCGGGGAAGCGCCTCGCCTTCGAGGACCGCGAGTACACCGTCCAGGACCTCGCGGCCCCGGGGGCGTTCGACGGCGTCGACATCGCGCTGTTCAGCGCCGGCGGGAGCGTCAGCCGTAAGTATGGGCCCGCGGCCGTCGCTAGAGGCGCCGTCGTCGTCGACAACAGCTCCGCGTTCCGAATGGACCCCGAGGTGCCGCTCGTCATCCCCGAGGTCAGCCCCGAGGCCATGGGGAACGTCCGGCTCGGGCAGGGGGCGATTGTGGCAAATCCAAATTGCTCGACCATCATCTGCCTCATGGCTGCCACGCCGCTCCATCGCCACGCTAAGGTACCACTTTGGGCACTTTTTGGGATGTCGGAAGCATCATCCATATTTCAATAACTTTAATTTGAAGCGACGGAAGGCTGATGCTGAAGAACTGTATAATTCACATGCTATTTAACGGCAGAAACCAAACATTAATCTCTGGAATTATGCTTCCTAATACTAAATAGAAGTACTATCTTTCCAAAAAAAAAAGTATATATGTATCGTATAGATGAATCAATACATGTAATCGAATATTGGACTGTCTAATTTAGTTCTTTTACTTTAATCAAGCTTGAAGATAGGGATCATATTAACAGTCCACAACATTGCAATGACTCGCTTTCCTGCTAGTATTTGACTGTTCTGAATCTTCGATCTTCCAGTGTAGTTTTAGCCAACAAAATGGCACATTATTTATTCTTCCATGTTTCCGAAATCCAGTGTTCTGTGTCTGTCTGGAAAAAAAAAATCTTCATTATTGAATTGATGGCATCACATCATTTCGATTTTTTTTGGTGACAAATCCTTAGGAGTTGATTATTCAAATTAAGGTTTGCAATAGGGATTAACCATAGGCTATTTAAGACTTGTACTTGACTGGAACTGTCTTGCCAATTCTGTTTTAGCCAACAAAACGGCACATTATTTATTCTTCCATGTTTCCGAAATTCAGTGTTCTGTGTCTGTCTGAAAATAAAAATCTTCATTATTGAATTGATGGTATCACAGCACGTCGATTTTTTTTGTGACAAATCCTTAGGAGTTGATGTCTTGATGATTCAAATTAAGGTTTGCAGTAGGGATTAACCATAGGCTATTTAAGACTTGTACTTATCTGGAACTGTCTTGCCAATTCTGTTTTTTATATGGGTTGCAGATTTTGCGGGGAGAAGGCTTGCCTCGGTTTTTTCCTTCCCTAGACCCCACTCATGTGGGAGCCTGTGGCACTGGGTCTGCCCTTTATATGGGTTGCAGATTCTGCTTGAATTGCTAATACATTTGTATGGTGAGCTATTATGTTTCTATCACATGTCTTTTTGCTACTAAGATAACTTTTTTTTATCGTATCTGATTTGCTTGTTGACTGCCCTCCCTCCACGGTCAAATTAATGGCTATTTGTTGACTTGGCAGGTCTTAAGGATGGTTGTCAGCACATACCAAGCAGAAAGTGGTGCTGGTGCTGCGGCAATGGAAGAACTCAAGCTGCAGACTCAGGAGGTACATATTTTCTTCTCCAAGTTCCCCTGTCCAGTTAATGTGTTTGTTTGGTTAGTCACTCAATGTTTTACACCTTATTTTAGGTCTTGGAAGGGAAGGCGCCAACACGCAATATTTTCAAACAGCAGGTTGCTCTGGCTTACAAATTGAAGTATCCTGAGCACATATCAAATTATTTTAGTCATGAGTTCTTCATGCTGAATATCTTTGTCTCTTGTGCAGTATGCTTTTAATATATTCTCACACAATGCACCAGTTCTTGAGAATGGGTATAACGAGGAAGAAATGAAAATGGTGAAGGAGACCAGAAAATTTTGGGTTAGTCTTTGTGGTCCCATTGGTCTAAACAGCTTCCTGTGAAGTCTGCATTACTCTGTCAAACTTTTCTTTCATTGTGATAATTTGAGCAAATATGCCTTCTAACTGTACGGTCCATTGCTAGAATGACAAGGATGTGAAAGTAACTGCTACTTGCATACGGGTTCCTGTGATGCGTGCGCATGCTGAAAGTGTCAATCTACAGTTTGAAAAGCCACTTGATGAGGTTGGTATTCTGCATATTATGTGCTAGCTAGCATTAAAACTTCTCTGTTCGTGGAAATATGTTTGTTTCTTTCATACTATTCTCTTTTGTCTCTTTTTGTGCTAAGTGAATTGATTCTTGGAACCTGCCACTTTGTCATCTGGATAGGTGTTTTATTTGAATTTGACTATTTGTAAATGTGGCAGAAAACAAATTGGTTATGTTTATGTTGTAGTATAATATTGAGAGGAGCTCCTGGTGTTACCATTATTGATGACCGTGCTTCCAATCGCTTCCCTATGCCTCTGGAGGTATTTTGATTCATGCTCATCAATACCACCGCAATACTCACTATTCACACTCTTATACAGCTGTGCTGTTCCAGGAGAGAGAAGTTGTTCGAATGATTTTACTGACAAGAAGTAACCCTGTCTTTCAGGTATCAGATAAAGATGATGTAGCAGTGGGTAGAATTCGTCTGGACTTGTCCCTGGATGATAACCGAGGGTATGTATGATAATGTTTGACAGTTACAGTTGACAGAAGCATTACCTCATTGTGCATTACTTGTGTATGAAAATGAATAAGGAATTTAAGGATATATCGGAACTAATCATCTATACAATGGCAGGTTGGACATATTTGTCTGTGGTGATCAGATACGTAAAGGTGCCGCACTCAATGCTGTTCAGATTGCTGAAATGCTCCTGAAGTGATTACCCTCTTGTCTTTCTCTCCCTGTCCCTAATTGCTCTTGATCAATGCTGGACTGTACTCTGATTAGTTTGTGCTCAATTTTGGTCGCCTCTTCTGTATTCTGCCGTGCTAGTGCAATAATTATGAGATGGGCTTGAGTTATCTGCTGTACACAAAAGTCGGCTTGTAAGTTGGGGAATAATGGGCCATCCTTATTCAGCACTCTGGTTTATATCTTGTTCAGATTCATCTAACACTCCACCAGTGCCGGGTTCTGTGGACCACAGGGCCCAAAGTGTCCTACGGGATTTACACTTTCATGTGCAAGAATAGGGTCTGATTGTAACCTGATCCAGAAGGCCCTGTGGGCAGCTCTCTAGGGCAGGAAGCATCTGTTGCAGTTGTACTGAAAGGTGCGCAACGATAAGCGCGTCCTGTTCGCTTAGCTTATAAGCCGTATTTTTTCAGCCAATAAACAGTATTTTTCTCTAACAATAAATCAGCCAACGGTACTTTCAGTCATGCTTATCAGCCACACGAACCGGGCAAAGAACATGAGAGTTGAGAGGACAAGTTAGCCAGTGAACTTCTGTGATCGCTTGATGTGCAATGCCACTGTATGTATAATACTTGGTTCAGTAGGATTAGGTGGTTTGGCGTTGTCTTGTTCTAACCTGCAGTAACTTAAGGTAGATATAGTCATATAGATGACACTGGGAAGGTCACCTTTTCTTACATTTTTTTACTGCGAAAATATCTGACAGAAGAGGGTGAATGCATGTGCTTGTCCGCTACATCTGATTTGTAACCACCCTTCACGAGGTTAATCGAGTTCACCTCGAACAGAATGTCCTTGTATTATCTAACTACAAACTGCATTTTTAGCAATATAATATTCACACCACTTGTATATCAAGATAGTAACACCTGGGGGCTTAACTACTATGTATGGGCAAAAGGGCAAGTTGTTTGCGCCCGTAACTTTTCATGTGTTGATTTTACTTCTTTATCTCCACACGTATTTGTATTGCATCTCAAGTTTTGCATGTATACGTAGATGTTTGCATTCTCTACCCATTTTTTTTTTGTAACTTTTTGTGTAACTATGTTAGGTGCTACCTTGTTTGGTGACACGGTAAACACCGTATGGGCCGGTAACGCAGGATATGTTTTCGTATCCGTGCAGTGCAACGCATAGACCATTGCTCACCGTTGTATGCCTGAATGCCTGATGCAGCCGCGCACATGTCGATTATTCATGCAAAAGTTTTAAACCATATATATGGTTGCCAACTAAGGGGGTGTTTGGTTCTTTAGTCGCTCCTAAAATTCATGTCACATCGAATGTTTAGATACTAATAAAGAGCATTAAATATAGATTAATTACAAAACCAATTACATAGATGGAGGCTAATTTGCGAGACGAATTTTTTTATGTCTAATTAATCCGTCCTTAGCACATGTTTACTGTAGCACCACATTGTCAAATCATGGACTAATTAGGTTTAAAAGATTCGTCTTACAAATTAGTCGTAAGTTGTGCAATTAATTTCGTAATTAATCTATATTTAATACTTCATTCATCGTCAAACATTCGATGTGACAGAAATTTTAAAAGTGGCTAAGAACCAATCAGAGCCTAACAGTCTTGTTGATAGGTGACGAAAATTTCCAGGAAGTGTACTGGGCAGTTGTTTTTTTACTGCTCACTGGTACTAGCAAGGAGCAGCCAAGCAGGGAGGACGGTGGGATCAATCAACGATGGATCCCACTCTTGCCGTTCTGAGGTCTCACCGTCTCAGTGTTCATTGTCCAGCTGCACCGCAGCGGGCTGGTGGCAGGACCGACGCGCCGCAGTCAGTCAGCACTCGTACCAGGGGAGTAAGGGCGTGTTTAGATCCAAATTTTTTTTGGTTTTGATACTGTAGCACTTTCGTTTTTATTAGGCAATTATTGTCTAATTATGGACTAATTAGGTTCGAAAGTTTCGTCTCGTGATTTCTCATCTAACTGTGCAATTAGTTTTTTTTTCGTCTACATTTAGTACTCCATGTATGTGTCGCAAGATTTGATGTGACGGATACTGCGTAAAAATTTTTGGTTTTTGGATGGAACTAAATGGAGCCTAACTGAGGGACTGGAGTGGGGCCGATGCGTCTGCACCACCGAGGCACCGACGCACGTCTCATGCTTCAGTCATGCCGGCCTGGCTGTGGAGATGAGCTTAGGCTCACACAAAACTTGTGCGTGATAGAATCACATTTCAGCACAATGGACTTATGGACTCTGGAAACTCTCGCCCTGTTCTGCAGCACTTTTCAGCGAATGTTTTCCTCTCACGGTATTTTAGTATAAACTAAATTTCAACGAACGAAACGAACAGGGCCTCTGTACTAAGCACGATCTCTAGCGTCTCATCTAGTAGCTCCCAAGCCAAGGGTCTATTAAAATAAATAATACACAACATTATTATGACCTGGCCAAGCGGCCAGTGTACATAACACGACATCATCTCCATGCATGCATGTCCTCTCTCATGTACATACTAGTAAGAGTAGTAACTAGTGAAAGCAGAAGCTTCAGAAGGCAAGCAGAATACCGGTAGCTAGGACAGAGATATCTCATTCTCCAGACGCATGCATAGCCATCCAGAGTCACGGACGGTACGCATGCACGGATGCTACGCATGGCGGCCAGCTGGAGCTGGTGACGGCGAGAGGCAGCGAGGGTCCGGACTCCGGAGGAATCATGGGCACTTGGGCCTGGTGCGGTTGCCGTGGCCGGTGGTCATGTCGCGGTAGCAGGGGCACTCGTCCTTGTGGCCCGCGGTGCCGGACGGCACGCAGTTGCAGCTGGCGCAGCAGATCCCGCAGTACTTGAGGCAGTCGTCGTGCCGGCTCGCCTTGGAGCACCGCACCCCGCACTTGCCGTCGCAGAACGCTGCCCAAATCCAAAGGAAGAAGGAGAAGCTCGATCGTGTGAATAGAGTAGCCTGCCCAGCACCAGAAACGGCATGAGATGATGGAGCTGCTGGCGGTTACCTGATCCAGCCATGGAGACACGGAGGGAAGGCGGCGCCAGGAGGAGGAAGAGGAGGAGAGCAACGGTGGCGGTGGTCTCAAGCTTCATTCTGCCCACCTTGTCTGCTACTGCTGCTCCTGGCTGCTGCTTTGTGTGAGGTTTGGGGAAGCAAGGGCGCTGGTCATAAAGCGGAGTGAGGGTGGTGGCTTTGGGTTTTTTTTTTCTGGGTGGGGGGGGGGTTGGTTTATACGACCGTCCGTCCTTGGCTTTTGCTCGACGGTGCTGGACGGTGCTGTAGCCTGTAGCTGTAGCCAGGGGAGGGTAGTTGGGGCTGGCAGCTGGAGGCTCTTCGCTCTAGTTTATCGTAAATGATTATAAATTTTTAGTTGGAGTAGTATTTTTCTCTTACATTAAATTAACTGACAGTACTTTACGAACCACCGATGAATAAGCCCTGCCAAACGAACAGGCTGACTCGTGGCCTGGCCGGTGTGAGTGTGTGAGCATACACCATGAACGGACCCCATGTCCTCCTAGTGTTGTATTGATGAGATGTGAGCTGGCATCCAAAAGGCTGACCTTTCTTTAAGGGATCGGAGGTCATCATGCTTTACCATGGTTAGTTCACATACATACCAACGTATGCGGTATACCAACACTGTATGACTGTAGCTGTTCCTAGCCTCGACTACGTAGTACGTACACGCTGTCAGACAACTTTGGCACCAGTAAATGGTGGACTAATAATGGTGCAGCTGAAAATTGTAGGTGGGGTTGTCTGGAGAGGACACTATATCTTCGGTGGCATTATAACGTCGTGTGTATGCGTGCTTGTTCAGCCTGAATTACAAGACTGTGCAACTGCAAAAGCAAAGTACTCCAGTTGTTTGCACTCTTGCTCAGGCCTCCCCAGCTAGTGGCCAGGGAGCGATCAAAAGTACGAGACAGTCCATCACCGTGTTGCCTCTTGCCTGTATGTGGCATGTGGGGATCGGATGAGCATGTTAGCAATATTATGCATGCCTTCCAATCGCCGTTGTCAGATCAGCTGGGGGACCGGACAAGGGCGATGTGGAGATACTACGCGTGTACATTTACTTGTCTAGGCGCCTGTTTAGTTCCCTCCTAAAATGCTAAATTTTTCAAAATTTTTTGTCACATCAAATCTTTGACGCATGCATGAAACATTAAATATAAATAAAAAAAAAAAATAATTACATAGTTTAGATGAAATCCACGAGACGAATCTTTTAAGCCTAATTAGACTATGATTGAACATTAATTATTAAATAATAACAAAACGCTACAGTATATTTCGCCAAAAATTTCGGGGATAGCAGTCAGTTGCCGAGTTTCAAAGTCGATCGCCTGTACCGCGTCAACTGTTTCTCGTGCCACGGCGGCGCGGCGGGTGTCAAAAATGCGTGCCGACGGCCCTGGAGCGTGTAAAGTTTGGGACATCAGATGTCATCTGGATATTAATAAAATAAATAAATTATAGAATCCACCGATAAATCACAAGACGAATTTATTAAGTCTAATTAATTTATTATTAGCACATATGTTACTGTAGTACTTTATTATCAAATTATGGCTAATTAGGTTTAAAAGATTCGTCTCACTAATTAATTCTAAACTATATAGTTAGTTATTTTTTAATCTATATTTAATACTTTATGCACGTGTCAAACATTTGATATGATAAGGTGTAAGCGCGCGTTTAGTTCGACAAAGTTGGATTTTGGGGCTACTGTAGCACGTTCGTTTTTATTTGGCAAATAGTGTTTAATCATGGACTAATTAGACTCAAAACGTTCGTATCGCAATTTTCCACCAAACTATGTAATTAGTTTTTTTCGTCTATATTTAATGCTCCATACATGAGCCGCAAACATTCGATGTAACAGATACTGTAGCAACTTTTTGAAATTTAGGATCCATCTAAACAAGGGCTAAAGTTCTAGGGTGCAAACTAAACAAGTGTCGAGGCTCTCACTCTCAGTGTCCTCGCCGGGTGTAAAGTTTGGGGCTGCTATCTAAAAAGGGCCGAGGCTCTCACTCTCACTTCCTCGCCCGGCGTGCAGTGCAGTGCTTCTGAGCCTGGCAGCTCCCGCATTGTTCACATCACAGCGCTGCCGTCGGTCCAGTCCGATCTGAATGTGCTGTCTCCCTTTAGCCGGGCAGGTGGAATTGATAGGCGTCTGTTTACAGGAATTCTTCGTACGCGAACAGTTGAAAATACTCTTGACTGATTTGGTGTGAAAAAAAAATATTATTTATTAGTTGAAAAATACAATTTATAAGCTAAATAAATCAAAATGAACAAAATGTAAGAGAAAAATACGGTTCGCTGGCCCACGCGAGCAAAAGGGAATTAACCTGGAACGTTCGCTAGTCACCAGCACGCGTGCTCACTCATCCTCCCTAGAGATGTGGCGTGCAAGAGAGTCGCAGCCGCAGACACACTACGCGTAGGCGTAGTTACACCAAAGTAAAGATGAGAGAGCACGAGGGGAGGGTAAGGCGAAAGGAGAGCACGCCATGCTTACAAGGCAAGCAATTACTAAACCACTGGTTTGTTTCAAAAAAAAAAGTAAACCACTGGTTTACTACAGCTCTTCATCAGTTCATCTTGTTATAGAACGGAAGCATCTTTGCAGCAGGATACGTTCGAGGTCGATACGTCCGGGGTCAGAGACGGTCAGTTCAACTGCCCCGGCGTCAGAGCGCCTTTTCTGTCACACAACGGCGCGCTCTTTTTGACACCACCCGTCTGGAACGCACACCGCGCCCGCAGTCCCGCACGCACGTTGCGGTCGCGGAGTGCGCTGGTTCCCGGCTTCCCGCTGTTCGTGTTCGGTTCGGCCCGCTTGGACGGCAGCGGCCGCACATGCGCGCGACCGAATAATCGTCTCGTCTGCGCCACGGCGGCGTGCGGTAGAGCCAGAGCACGGATAGAGAAACACAGGCGCGGGCGGGCGCGTCGGCTTTGGCGACCCCGCGGCTTCAGGGATAGATAGAGATAGAGATAGAGATAGAGATAGAGATAGAGATAGGAACAGCATCGCCCAGTTCTCGGACCAGTCGGAGGACGACAACGGTGCGGAGGACGACGGCGGCGTCATCGAGGTCGTCGATGAGGGCGATGGCCACCAGTCGCAGTCGCCCCCACAGCGCAACCAGGAGATAGATGCCGACGCCTCCAACGATGCGGAGGACGACGGCCGCAGCCACGCACACTCCCGCTACGGTGGATACCACTCCGTAATCCTGCCCGCGATTCCGATTCGTCTCGGCTGCTTTGTTGTCCCCCGTCGGACCTGCCTGGGCCTGTGATGTTGTGCTATTTTTGGGGAGGTTTACACTCGATGCGGATTTGTAGCAATCCTACTGAAATTTGGACACGAAGAAGTGGATGACGAGGCAAGGAGGAAGGCTACCATCATAGGACAGTGTTTAGCAGAAGAAGGGGAGTTGTTGCCTCTGAATCGGAGGTGTCTGAAGAGAATTACTATGCTGATGGAGCTCAAGGAAGCGAGGAACCTCGCAAACAAGGAAACAAAGTTTAGTGAGGAAAAACATAATGCTTTAGGCTTTACAGTTTTTGAGTACTCGATTCAATGGTTCACAAATGTTTAGTTATTTTGCCAATTATGTTTCCATACACACTTTTAGCTTACTTTTAATATTTCTAATCCTGTAGTTGTTTGTAACAGTTATTATAACCTTAGTATTATGCACCTCTCCGATGAAGAAAGAGATCATGAGGTACAGCTTTGCCAGCAGCCCAGCCTCTGCCGCTTTACTCTCCAAATTCCTGCCACCGTGTACTGAGTCATCTTATTTATATTTTTGCAGACTCATTTCCTTCCTATCTACTGACATGTAAATATGGTTGTTCAAATGGATTTTTTTCGCTATAGTTGTGGGCTGATACTTAGACTTATCAACAGGTATATTCATCTGCTTGGATAATCTTGGCCTCAGGATGATGGCAAATGATCGTCTTCTTTTATGCTCCTGTTGCAGTCTCGGCTTACTTTTTATCCCAACAAGGTATGTCATTTCAGTTTGATTTTCTGTGCGTGGTCAGATTTAGGCACCAATGTTTTCCTGTCTGATAAAAAAATTGCCATTTTTAGTACCCAGATTTGTTATTCTTTGCAAGATCGCATATTGTGATTGTCTAGATGTTGCTCCCCAAATTATGTTTCACACTCCTTCCTAATTTATTTCCAATTCATTGCATTTGCCTGACCGCCATCCTCCATAAATTTATGTATGATGTTCAGCCCCATTTCGCATGACTCCGAAATTTCAATTAAACATATACTGTCCATACAGGGTGTGTAAAATATTTGAATGTCACACTTTTTTCATGAGTTATTTTACATATACGACTCAAACCATTTACTTGCGCAAGGCTTGACAAAGGTTCTTTACGTAATGAATATTTCCTAACCATTCTTATTCCTATTCATTTTTCGTTCCTATGAAGAACTGTAGGTAAGTTTGTTTAGCCAGGAGATGCTTATCTTGCAATTTCGTTATACATTCTGCTTCAATTATTTAGTGTGAAGCTACAACATAGCCTAATTTATTAGCCTACACTTTAGGGGCATCTGGTACCTAAAAGATGACAGAGCACACATTTTCATTTTTCTGCTTATGCGTGAAAAACTCTACGATCCCAAATACCAACGCCGGGAAGCATTTAAATGCCATTGTATGGTACATACTATTGGCCTTAGATTGTCACCTACGAGAACTGGTAATAGTACTCTTAGTCAATAAATATAGAATATTTTTGTTGCGCACAGGCTGAGTCACATTAGTTTCAAAATTCCAATGCATCTAAATACTTAGAATCTAATTGGTGAATCAGTGATGAAGTGAAGTGAACTGCCTCATGGACCTGACGCGATTAGTGAGACACTCAATTCAAACCAAAGAGAAGAGTTCCATTAAAGAATGCTTCTTTCTATAAGTTAACATTACATAAATGATGCCCTTGCTGATCACAAGGATTTTAACACCTCTTATGAAGGTATTTCAACGGCACCTTCTCCTTTGTTCTGTGGATGTAGATGTCAGATCAGTTATAGCTT